ACGTGATAAGCATCTAATAATATTTTATTATTTTGAAATTATCTAAATAAGTATATTTATTTATGTCACATCACTTTTTTATTTTTTTTTTTGAATATTTCATAAAAAGTCAACAAATACACTAAGGGTTGGTTTGGGAAGTGGGTTGCCTTTTTGGCTTTTTTGACTATTTTTACCTGGGCTAAAAAACTTGGTTTGGAAAGGGCTTTTTGACTTTTTTTGTGAGGGAAGAATATAATGATTATGCTTGGATGTGATGTTTTGTTAGTTGTGGCTAAAATAGCATATTTTGTCTTTTGGAGCTAAAATAGCCAAAAATAACCTACAAACCTTCTTCCCAAACGGTGCCTAAGTAAACAAATCTCAAATAACTCCTTAACCTCTATTCTTGAAATTATATTTGTTGTCTATTTTTGAATTTTTTGTTTTCATCAAGACAAATGTGATTAAAAAATATTAGGTAACGTTTGGTTTGCATTTAGGGTTATGATTTGAGTGTGGAGTTATATTTTGAGCTTGTGGAATTTGAAATTATGATTTCAAAAAAGAAAATTTGTTTGGTTATAAATTTTGAATTGAGTGTTGAATTTTTTAAATAAATGTTGAGTTTGTGAAAAGTTATTTGATTATGAGTTTTAAAAAGAGTTTTCAAAACTTAATTCAAAAACTTAAAACTTAAAACTCAAAACTCATAACCAAACGCACAACTCAAAACTCTATTAAAAATTCTATTCAAAACTCATAACCTAACTCTTTTTAAAATTCAATTTAAAAAATAACTGTTGAAAAAAAAATTTATTTAAAATGTTAAAAAAAATGTTGTTATTTGTTAATAAAAACATTCAGCTAATGCTTTAAAATTACTTTTGATTGTATATTTGGTTGAAATTATTTTTAAATATATATTTTTTATTTTTTAAAAATTACTGTGACAAATTAATTTTTATTTAATTTTTTTTTTGTTGATTTTAAAAAAATGTCCAAATAATTTGTCATTTTGGTCTTCAATTTTTTTTTCTATATTTAAAAAATATCAAAAACAAATATAATTTTTTTTTTTTCCAGATAACAGGTGTCAATTGATAAAACAAAAAACAAAAAAAACACTGTTCTAGTCAACAGGGAGGATGTCAGGGGGGCGACTGGTTAGACCCAAAAATTTAAAAACTGTCTAAGAGGATGTCCAGGTGGACGACCGGATAGACCAAAAATTTAAAAACTCTCTGATTTGCCAAACATGTTTTCAAAATGTGTTTTGAAATTGATTTGAAATTATGATTTGAAAACTGTAATCAAACAGATGGTTAGTGTGGAATCATGGTTTGAGAATCAAACCAAACACAGCCTTAGTTTCTTAGACCTCGTTTGACAGCTTTCGATTTTAGTAAAAAAAGTCACCATAAATTATCACATCACCTCTTTACTTTTTTATACATCTTTTCATAAACAATAAAAAAAATACTAAAATAAGATGTTCTTAAACAAAGTCTACTACTCAAATATTTTAAATTTTTACGTAAATATTTTAATTAATAATTTATCTAAACAATTCAAATCACCAAATCAACTCCAAAATGTGATCACTAAGCCCAACTGTTAAAACTTGAAAGAATTCACACATCTTGGGCCAATATGGCCCACAAATTACTCAACAGGGGACCTAAAAGAGAGTGTAGATCACAAAGCATTTGCTTGAAAACATTAAATTAGTAGTTTCGTCAAAGATTAATTACATTTTTATAATTATCACATCACCCTCTTTACTTTTTTATACATCTTTTCATAAAAAATAAAAAAATACTAAAATAAGATGTTCTTAAACAAAGTCTACTACTCAAATATTTTAAATTTTTACATAAATATTTGAATTAATGATTTATCTAAACAATTCAAATCACTAAATCAACTCCAAAATGTGATCACTAAGCCCAACTGTTAAAACTTGAAAGAATTCACACATCTTGGGCCAATATGGCCCACAAATTACTCAACAGGGGACCTAAAAGAGAGTGTAGATCACAAAGCATTTGCTTAAAAATATTAAATTAGTAGTTTCGTCAAAGATTAATTACATTTTTATGATAATCTAATTTTACTATATGTATAACACAAATTCTCTGCGTGCATAGTACAAGTCCTTTCTATGTGTCAGAATTACATCATAAAAAATTTCATCTCTAATATAATAATTTCTCTAACATCCCACTAGTATAATATTTCTCCAAAAATTAAAAAATTTCATTAATACAATGAGAAAGAGATCTGACCAGCTCACTTCTCCGGTAAATGCGCTTATGGGTTCAGTTAATTAACAATTTTATACTTCACCATCTCCTGAATCATGACGACGAAATGACCAATGAAACAACTGAAGTGTTCGTGGTGTTCGGGGTCAAGACCCAATAAGACCTGAGTTCCTGAAATTTGACTAAAATATAGGCCCAAATATTTTCAGCCCTTTTAGTTGGCCCAAAAATAAAGGCCCAATTCAACTTATCCCAAGTTTAAAATCTAAACTAGTGGCTCAGTAAGATCAGTTTTGTTATCACTTAAAAAATAAATATATGATAGATAAGTAAAATTATGTAAGCTTAATTAGTAAATTTATAGTTAAAAATGCAAAACTAGTAGTGTTTAAGTAATATTTTACTGCAGCTGGTTCATTTTTTATTAGGTATTATGACTTTAGATTTGTTTTTTATTTTTTATTTTTTATTTGTAAGTTGAATGTTGTTAAACTAAAAAGACAAGGTTTTTTTTCATCTTTATTAATTATATTGATTTCTTTATATTTTAATCTGTGTAAGCATTTTAATACTTTTAGTGAATACATATGCAAACAAATTTTGTGTGAAATATTAGCAAATAATAATAAATAAATAAAAGAATACTTAACTTTTTCTTTTTCTTTTTCTTTTTTAAACATAAAACACTTAGCCTCCGTTTGGGAAGTGGGTTGCCTTTTTGGCTTTTTGGCTTTTTTGACTATTTTAGCCTGGACTAAAAAGCTTGGTTTGGGAAGGATTTTTTTACTTTTTGACTTTTTTGACTTTTTTGTGAGAGAATAATGTAATGATTATGGGTTAGATGTAATGTTTTGTTTTTTGTGGTTAAAATAGCCTATTTTGTCTTTTGTGACTAAAATAACCAAAAAAGCCCACTTTACTTCTACCCAAACGGACCCTTACTATTTTACTCATGAACTTTTCTTTTCTTTTTTTTTTTTTTGAATCTGGAGCTTGCCAAGGTCTTCAAAACTCATGGTGGGTCATGATTGGATTAAGTTAACCCTACAAGGAAAATAGGATATTGCAAGACAAAGTCATCATACATGGGTAAATATTTGATATAATGTTGATATTATGTGATAACATTATTAATTGATGAAATTTTTTATATTAAAACCGTTTGAGATTTTATCATTGCTATATTCAATATTTATCTGTGATACGCAAAATTTCAAAGTTAATTTCCCACTAATGCTAGAAAACTTGATTGGGTGGGAAAATTTGTTTGTGTGTCGATCATGTGCAATTATTACTTGACTATTTTTTATTAGTTTCTTGAACTGAGATTGCAATTGGATAACATTAATTGTAAATTGATCAAAAGTATTACAATTAAAAATTAAGATGTTAAAATGAAATTTTGTGTAAAATTTAGGAATAGTAAATAATATTATATTTTTAATAAGTCCTAACATTTCTCTAATGCATAAGGTCAAACATGTCCTTTGAATTAAGTTATTTAAATTGACTAAGTCTGCAACCTGTGGAGAGATGTTGATATATGATGCTAAATAACACCTTTGTATAGATAATTAAATCAACAACATTGTGATATCTCCATGGACCTTTAAAATGGCAATTGATATCTCAAGGATTTCAAAATCTAAGAAATAAAATAATGATAAGTAAAGCAAAATCACGAAACTTCACCATGAATGAAATTGTATAATTGCATGTGAGGATTATACAAAGAGAAATTAATTAGCGTGAGAGTTTCTGTCGGGATATAGGGGGTGTTTGTTTCAGCTTTTCAAAGCTAACTTATGCCTTTTAGTTTTGAAAAAGTTATTTTAGACTGTTTGGTTAAATTTATTTTAAACAGTTTCTGATTCTAATAGCTTATTTTAACTAAAAAAAGCTAATTCTGAGAAGCTGCTCACCCCTTACTTCTGATTATCAGCTTCTGCTGTGGATATGTTGATTTATGGTTATACTCTTAGATTTTTTTATTTTTTATTTTTTTAAAAATAGAAAAAGACCCAAATGGACTATAGATTATTATTATTTTTTTTTATGAGAAATGTAAACAAACAAAAAATAAAAATTAATTAAAAAAGCTATTTCACAACTTATTTAACAAGCACTACTCAGCAACTTAAATCTATAATCCAACAGCTACACCAAACAGATTAACAACTTCTGATTAAAATTATAATCTATAATCTGTTAAACTATAATCTATAAGCTATTTTAACAGCTATACCAAACAGGGCCATATACCTCAAATTATCTCTCTACCATATGATAGCTCTTCGGTTTGATTGTCGTTTGGGAAAGGTGTTCTCTTGTCCTAAGCTATCTCTCTCTTGGAAATGGTGGATGAGGGAGAATCCAAAGAGATAATATGACCTCTCTATCTATCTATCTTTCTAATTACTAATATTATTCTTACATAAGTACACCATAGGTCTCTTTGATTTGATTATATGGTGAAAAAGTTATTTAAAATAGAGAAAAAGGGAGATCCAAACAAAGAATCATCTGTCTACTTTCCCTTAACTCAATCAACCTCTACCACTTGATAGATACCTTACAAATCCGGACAGAGAATTTGGTTTTTCTATGTCTAATTGCTTCTTAATTACTTTGAATGAGTTCACATGTGAATGTTTATCTACGTTCGTACATTCACGAGCACACATTCATGTAGACACTCAATGAAAAGTCTTGATAAGACAAAAGAAGAATAAGATCAAGAAGAACTACGACAAATTCAGGATCAATATCAATACTTATAGTTTAAACAGGTAGGAAAAACTTTATTACAAACTTTAAGTCATCAACTACATCAAAAACCTCTAAAAAAAAATAAAAATAAATAAAATAAAGGAGAGAGAAGATTGCAGTTGAAGAACAGGGCTCCCCTTGAGGCAAAACATAATTACAAATTTGGATCATCACCCATATCATAAATCCACCACAATAGAAGAAGAGGATGGACAATATGCATCAGTATCAGTATCGACAATACAGTCATATATTAATCGGTCTGCATCGATTTTGAGACTCCAGAATCCCGATACATATCGGCATATGCAATTGAAAATCTTATGCTGATGATGATCTGTCCATCTCAAGAACTTCAGGGCTCTCCATGATGCTCTCTAGGTTGGGCTTCCAACCTACAACTTTCCCTCTTACTCTCTCTATCTCTCCCAACACATCTTCAAGTCTTTTTCCACTTTTACCCTTCAGCTGCAACATCAGCCACTCCAACTCCTCCTTTGTCAACACCAACTTAACCCTCACACCACCACCACCTGCCTGAAAACCACTTTCCTCAAAACAACCTCCCTTTTCTTGATTTTCTTGCTTTCTTTCCACTTCATGGCTGTTTGTGGAGGTCTCTATGCAATTTCCCATGATGCTTGGATGCCGGAAAACCGCCTTTTCTAAGACAAAAAACCACTCTTTCAGCTTGTGATTTGGAGCTCCTGTATGTATGAATATAAAAACTAGTTTTTTTTATCTGAAACCAACCTAATAATTAAGGAGTTGTTAGAGATGCCAACTAGTGCATGTGAGGGTGGGTACATGGGTATTTATAGTGTTAAGCACCTATGAACACACTGTTGAATTTGGTTCTTTCATGGAGAATTTATTTTTTTCTACGTTATTATTGACAAACTCCACCTACTTATTAGGTCATACTTTGCCGCAATTGTTGGACCATGCTATATACTACAATAATATTACACAAATTAATTAATTTTTATAAATAACTAAATTTCAATTTTCGTTAATTTTTTATTTTGTAAGGTTTCGGTTTTGAAAAATAACTATCATATTTTAGTTTTTTAAATATCAAAAAATAAATAACCAATGATGCATGTTTTACAATAAAAATTAAGAAGAAATACATTTATGGACCATACGCCATCTCTTATAATTTATTCCCGATAATTTTTTTTATAAATCTCTCATTTATATGAAATGGACAAGCTAAAAAAATCAAATTGTAGTATGTGGTTGGTTTTAGTTCTTCTATCAACAAAATAAAAAGTTTCGATTCAAGGCTAACTTTTTGTCTCAATCTCAATCGAACTGAATTACATATGTGAGAGCCGAATTAAAATTGTATCTCATACAACATCGAGTAGCCCAACCCATCCAATATGGGTCAAACAAGGCCCAAGCCTGCTGGGCCGGGTAATCATCAAACGCCGAGTGAGCATAGTGGGCACGAACATTGAAGATATTTTTGACATACAGTGAAGTCCAAATAATACAGATTTAGCAGGGGCGCACTTAGTGGGAAGGAGTTTCCATTGAAAGTATAACATGAAAATAGGCCCTAAAGGGTAATGATGAGAGGGTAGGTTACGCGAAATGACGTCGAGAATGATGGCACTATAAAAGGGAAAGAAGAACTTAGCGACAGGGGTGGTAAAAATAACTCACTTAAGCCTTTAAGAAACAATTACGCGAGTCTTTTTGAGAAGCTAACTTGCTCGTTGGAGTGTTAATTCCAGCACCACCAATCGGAGCGTTCGTTTATGTTTCAGGTGACATCACAAGGATTTCAAGGGTTTGACTGGATTAAAAAAATATTTCCAAATCCATTTCACCACAACATACATCCCTACAAATGAAAATTTTGGATCACTATGTAGATGTTTGGGATAACTTTTAAAAGTCAAAAAGTCACTAAAAAATCTAAAAAACCCATACTATTTGGGGAAGCTTAGAGGACAAAATTATTATTTTACCCTTTGAATTCAAATATCCAAAAGTCAAAAAGTCAACAAGGGTAGAATGGTCATTTTAATTTTACTACAATATTTTATTATACATCCTTTCATAAAAAGTTAAAAAGTTATCTTAAACATATATATATTTTTTTTTTTACTTTTTTAACTAAAAAAATCAAAAAGTACATTTATATGAATCATTCCGAACAATAAAAGAAATTTAAATTTGTATTCATTTGTATCAACTTGTCTGCCAAGTATCTCTTTTTGTATCAACATTTTTTTTTTTTTTAAATGTTGTCTTAAAAAAATAACAATTAATAGCTCAATTTTCTAAAGTTTGAAATCTTTGTACAGATCTCATTTTGTTTGCACATCTAAAGTGATGGATGAAAAAGCAGTCAATAAAGTTGTCGGCAATCATGTGCCATGTTAATAGTTTATAATTACTACATAGATCAATTTCAAATTAATTCTTAACTAAATTTTAGCAAACCACATTCATTTTTTTTTTTTTTTTTGTTTTTTTGGTGAATAAGACATAACCACATTCAATTTCATCATAATAAGAATGATACTTATGTGGAAATTCATGCTGGCTAACATGGCACATCACATCAAGATCAAAAAGACCAAGAGCATGTAGTGGTTTTTATTCAAATCAGTAAACTTTAACATTGCCCTTTCAAACTATACCCAAATAGAGTGAAAATTGATCATTATTGATTTCATTTTGGTGGAGATTTAAAATTTAACTTATCAGTTGAAAAGTTCATTTTGTTAAGAAATCCTAGATTTATCCACCCGATTTTTATGGGTGAGTGGTCATGCAGTGAAAATTAAGGGGTTGTTTGATAAACATTTTAGACTAAAAAAATCATAAAAGGACAAAAAAAGTCAAAAAATTTACAAAAAGACAAAATAAGCAAGAAGACAAAAAAAAAAAACACCATTCCAAAGCCAAAAAAGCCAAACAAGAATACCAAATGACTAAAAAAGTCTCTGGTTAAAAAAGTCGAAAAAAATCAAAAAGTCAACTAAAAAAGTCATCGCCAAATGAACACTAAATTTGTGTAACATATAGGCACAGTTTGGGAAGTGATTTTGTGGGCTTTTTTTGTTATTTTAGCCACAAAAGACTAAATAGGTTATTTTAGCCATAACAAACAAAACATCACATCCAATCCATAATCATTATACTCTTCTCTCACAAAAAAAATCAAAAAAGCCAAAAAACCCTTTCCAAACCAAGTTTTTTAGCCCAAGCTAAAATAGCCAAAAAAATTAAAAAGCCAAGAAGTCAACCCACTTCTCAAACCAATCCATAGTCTATATGTAAAATAAATATGAATTACGAAATGATAATTCTCAATAATTTTTCATAATATTGTTATTTGTTAAAACTGCATTAACTGATTTGATAAATCTTTTTTTTTTTTGTTAAAAAATCTCACTTTAACAACTTTGAAAGTTATTTGAAAAACTAAAAAGTTAAAAATGTACCAAACAAAATTATTTTTTTTAATATAACTTTTTTTTAATATATATTAATTTTGGTCAGTAAATAAGCTTTTGAACTAATTCTCAAAGAAAACCTAAATAACCTTAAGTTTTTCCACATGACAAGAAGGTAAATCTGTAAATTGATAAGAAAATCTTTTCTTTTTTAAAAAATAAAATAAAATAAAATCATAGGATGAGAATAAGGGGATAGGAAGAAGCTACGTCATGCAATGGTATGACTAAGGTTTTGAAAATCAGACCGGACTAGCCGGTTTAACCGGTTAAACCGTCGACTAGTTGGAGTTTTGGTTCGAGTATATCTTCTAAATCGTTCGCAGCTAAAACCGGTCTCTTTAGAGAGAACCGGAAAAACCGGCGGTTGAACAAGCGAACCGGTCGACTCGAAACTCTCTTTCAGGGGTCTCCTCTTATGAGGAATCTCTTAAAAATTCGAAATTATTGTGGAAGTCTCCACCTATTTATACGAAAAAAATTCTTTCAAAAAAACTCAAGAAATCTATATGGGATTCAATCAAATGTATTGGAGGGAACATTGAAATTTTGATATCTCTACAAAATTTTTGCTCTTCTTTTAATCAAATTATTTGAATTAAAATCATATAAAAAGAATATTAAATATTTGATTTTCTCTTCCAAAATTAAAATTAATAATATTTTAAAAAATATTATTATATTTTTCAGTAAAAAAATATAAAGACAAATATTTAAGATAATTTAATATTTTTAATTTATAATTTTATTACTTATATTTTTATTTAAATATAATTTTAATATATTTATTACGTCACCTGTCCACCCGATTTCTTTTCTGATTCGCTCACCGATCCGATTTTTAAAACATTGGGTATGACTAGAACCCTCACCCGGAGGCAATAAATGTCACATCACATTACAAACCTGAGTTGTTACTAGATGTGTTATAAACATATAAATCAAATACATAATACAAGTAAATGTATAAAGTTTTACAAAATTTGTTGGTGAAATTCACTTTCAAAATTTTTTATCTATCCATCGACATTATGCATCTCATTCTATGATATTTTTTGTGTTCATGTTTTGGATTAAATCATGTAAGCCTTGTAATCAAAGAAATGAAAGTACTTTCATAAAGAGAGATGATTATCATAAACAACTTGAAAGCATTTTTTACCATAAATCTGGCCATGTTTCACTGTAACAAGTAAGAGGACAAACCCCACTTTTTTATGACTAAATTAATCAGCTATAATCACGGCAAAAAAAATAAAATAATAAATAAAGCAATGTGTGTTGAGTGGAGGTGGCAAAGTAAAAAATTGAAGCACCACAAGCTTTTGCTTTTTGTTAATTTCATTTGAAAGCAACAACAGTTTGACCCTACTGAAATTTCATGGAAAATGAGGGCTCAAATGCAGAGAAAGCTTCAATGATTTATCAGACACCTTCACAAGCATTATAAATGAATCAGCTTTGTAGTCCCACCAAGCCAACGACCAACAAGAATGCATTAAGTGCCTTTTATATTCGTTTAGGAAATTGCTATACGTCCTAAATTTTCTACCAAATGAATAATTAAATGTCTTACATATGTGTGGGGTCTATAAAAAAGTAGACTTCACACCCATGTAAGTCATTTGGTCATTCATTTAGTAAAATTTTTTGTATCTCTAACAATACCTATTTATTTATCAGAAGAGAAGAGCTGCTCTCAATTCCACTAATTGGATTGGAGGGTTCAATAGTGTTTTTTAACTCAATTTGGGTCTGTTTTGGTAGTTTAAATTTTGATACTTTGTGAGAAGATTATTTATGTAAAAAATTAAATTCTATACCTTTTCTGAGGTAGTTATTTTCTCCTTGCTCGACGTGTAGCCATTTTAAAGGTCTCATTGGGCGTGTCAAAAAATATATGTTGATTTTTTTGACTTTTAAAGGTTAATAATGTAATATTAAGCATGCTAGTAAGGATCAATAAGTCCTTACAAAAATTTTAATTGCCAACAAATTATCAGACGATTGTGTTGAAATTCTTTCAGTTTCAATGAAAAGGACTTTTACTGATGGCTTTGCTTAGGAGAAAATTAAAGCTATTAACAATAACAACAGATAAAAACAGTTTCAATAATTGAATTTCATAAAATAATAAGAACTTACAATGATACCCTCGCACTTCCACAGTCTCGAAGGGTTTTACAGCAACAGACTACTTGGAGCTACTCTTAAGAGTTGAAGTGCAGTACAGGAATTGAAAAATTGGAAATGTAAAATCTGGAAAGAAAAATATAAAGTTAATAATTGGTCTCTGGATTTGAGTCCGGGTCCATTTTTGTTAGCCTTCTTTTCTATTTATACCCTCTAATGGTAACCGTCAAAGTGGTCTTCTAA